TATTAAAGTTTTTCTTCATTACCCATTCAAGCCGTCTCCAGCCATTATATTCTGATAATGTTAGTGTGCTGGAGGTGGTACCTGTCTGACTGGTTTTGAGTGGGATATTTTACTAGTCAGGGACATCTTTATTATCCTAATCATCTGGATGTCAGGTTCCCAGATCGGTAAAACATTTTATCACTTTTCTATCATGTATCCTGTTCACAGATCGGTGAGTATGATATCTTCCTCCAGTCTGTTCAACTTGAAGTGAAGACTGTATGATTCTCTTTTCTACACCCACCAGATGGCTTTGTTTTGGATTGCAGTTGACTTACTGCCGGTATGATCCTCTTTCTTACCTCCACATGGATGTGGGTTCCTGGTGGCTGGATCTTGGGTTGTAGTTGACTTGCCGAAAGTATGATCCTCTATCCTATCCCTATATGGATGTTGGGTCTTGGATTGTAGTTGACTTGCCGAAAATATGATCCTCTATCCCCTCCCTATATGGATGTTGGTTCCTGGTGGCTGGGTCTTGGATTATAGTTGACTTGCCAAAAGTATGATCCTCTTTCCTATCCCCACATGGATGTCGGTTCCCGGTGGCTGGGTTTTGGATATATATCTTCTATTTCTAAAGCAGTAAAAAATAAAATGTAAGATCCTAAATCTTGTGTAATGTCCCAAACCTATGATTTTCATGCTTCAGTATTCGCAACCAGTGTTAATCTAATGCCTAGTGTTACTGTTAACTCTTACTCTTAATTGTGACTGAGATGCATTAGGCCAATGGGTGTGATTCTTGTGCTATGCAAATTTGAAACTATATTCCCACTTGTACATTCCTCTTTATTCTCTTGCTATGCACGGTACATTGCACCCTAACCACTCTACATCTTGGGGCACATCATTTTTACTCTCACCAACATTACTATCTTCAAAGGGATTAAGATCCCAATATCAGGTAGTTCAGTTTCCTGTCCAAACATTATTCTCTCCCTTTTGGATGTGCTCTTCCCATCTTCTGCCCATGTTTAGAACACCTCTTTCCACTCTGGGCATGGAATATACCTGGAACAGAAGTGGTATGGTCTCCCACATAGGATCCTCTACTGCGAAGATATCCCCTTTATGGGTGTTCTTCATACACTTTTGAAGGATGCTTCTTTCTTTCCCTCCACCTATTCAATGTGGGATTCTAGCTATATCTGTGAGTAGAGATAATGTACCATAGCAGAAGTTAAAAAAAGTTTTCCTATATTGAAAATATATTTTCGATAGGTACTTACCTCCTCTCACACTTCCAACCCTTCCTCCTCACTGAAAAACCAGTGCTTCCATTTTCTGCCAAAACTTGTGATATCACTTGTCAAAAGTGATAGTTCAGTAGAATCGAATAAAGGGAGCCACGTGTCAGGGGGATGTGTCGCTCTCCTATTGGCAGTGGGTTGTTGCATGATGGTTTACATGTGAGACACAGTTGAACCACGTTCATTGTGGGGTATTTGGGAGCTCAAGGCTTGTGTCATGTGAACAAATTTTTGCATATAGAGGGCAGCACTGAACAAGAAGAGCTATAGCTTTGAGAGGAAGTAAGCACATCACAGCCTGATTCAACAAATTTAAAACAACCATTATTCATGCCATCTAGAAGGATCTCGCAGTAATAGACACCCAATGTGTAAATTTTACAGTTTTTCTTATAACCTGACAGCTGAGATTCATTTGTGTACAGTGAAGTTGACAGTTTGCATTAATATTGGCTACATAAGGTTGTGTATACTTCTCTATGGGTTAGCACAAGTGCTTTCAAAATTTGGGCAAGCTTCTACAAATTCATGCCAACAATATTCTATACAACACTGCAACAGTCTAGAGATTATTTTTTGGACTGCAATATCTCAAGTCATAAGTAAGAATAATGATGGGACAAGTACAACTGTTATATCTTGAATAACTGTCAGTTGAGAAGGAACACATAATAAAAGCTAATTCTATGAAAAATTTACAGCTACAATGAGGATATTTCTATCATAATTATATGTTTTCAGACTCAACTTAAAATGTTGTGTCAAGAAACCAATTTATTAAGTGTCATCCTGCTTTAATTTTCACTTATTTTTATGATTAGCTATTTAGCTGTTGCGTAAGTGTAAATTGAAAGGCTGATGAGAAATATTGAGTGATTGATAAGAAAACTGCCAGTTGTATCTTGTAGAGTTGAAAATATGGTAAATTCTCTAATAAAGATAATTTAAGTAACTAGCATACTGTTCTGTTAACATACATTATTTATAATCACCATACGAAAAGATAATTTTGCAAAGAGATATAACATACTAGTTATTTAGAGAGTAAGATTTTAGTAGAATGCAAAGATTTCAAACATTCATCTAATAACTCCATAACAAAATAATAAAAACAGAAATTTTAATATCCATTAAAATTTGAGAAATTAATTTTTTTTTTTCTTCTTCCCGAATGGGATGTAGCTGTACAAGTCAGCAAGCAGTTCTATATCTATTGATTCATGTAAAATTTTCCACAGTTTGATTATTTGTTTGCCAGTAAATAACCATATTCTCTTTACCAAAGACATTTAAGCAAAACTTTAGTATATCTGTTTTCTGAGGCACTAATAAATCAAGTTTTGATGTTTTTAGTCAGATTGAATCATTCTTGAGATGAGTGCAAATTTGGTGATTAACCTTCAAGTGTGCAACTTAATATTGCATTTTATCCATGGTATCTAGCAGTAGACATGAGAAACGTGAAACTGGACTTTCCAGTGATGTTTTATAAATTGTTACTTGATTGCAGAAAATGTGCTAATTGGCAATAAATTGATGAATAAGAAATTAGTATACAAAAGTTTTGGCTGATGAAGGGTTAACAGTGCTGATCATTTAAATATACAAGAATGACAAAAGTAGTTAAGAGTGAGGAGGAACACGTTGTCACACAGGTATATGAAGGACGGAAAGACAAATTCAAACAAACTGGTTGGAGAAGAACATCAGTGTAAAGGAGAATTTTCCAGGGGGAGAGAGACAGTTGCTTAAATGCTTGGGAAGCATTTTCAAAAAGCTGATACCGGCAGAAATGCAACTTGTGTAAAGATCTTTTAACTTGCTCATCACATGGAGTAAAGAACTTGAAAAAAATTGCAAGCTACTCATTTAGACTTAGACCATCTTCGAGCACATAAAATCAGGCTGACAGTGATGGTGGATTCTCAACGTGGCTTAGTTCTGGGCCTGGACATGTGCAGTTACAGAGTAGCTCAGCTAGCAGGAAGTCTGCTGCATCAAAGAGTGCAACATTCGTTTACAGAAAGTCAAAAATATATAAATATATCTCCATTTTAGCATAGACCTTAAGTTGAAAATCACTTCAAAATAACTTTATAACACTACTGCAAGATAACTGTTGATAAAAATCATCATTTCAACTAATGTATTTGGAGTATGTGCAGGCTGAAGTGATGTACAAATTGAAATGCGTAATTTTTAATTCAAAATAATTGTGCTACATTTATAGCCTATTAGCGAAATTTCTTTATTGCAAATTGCCATTAAAAAGTACAGAAAACAGTTCAAAATGCACCTCAGAGCATCTAAAACCCCTAGACCCCCTGCTTTCTCATTTTACATACCTCATGTCTATAGGACAAGTTGCTTCAGAAAATGTTCAGTGTTTTTTTTTTTTCATTTGAATCATTCTCAGTCCTGATAAATAATATGCACACTGGATGTTATGTGAAATACTACTGTTTCTGAAGAGCTGGTGTATAATTTTGTTTTCAAAAACCCATTTTATTTGAAGCATGCAAAGTTGTAAATATTGTTGTAATAGAAAATTTTGTATTTTCATATCTTTACAGGTTCTCCTTCTAAACTGGAAGAACTAGAACATTCTCTTCAAGTGATGTCTGTGCCCTCTCGCAGCCCAACCCAGAGCCCTCAGCCTCCACCTGTCCAGTGCAGTCAGACATTTATAACTTACCCCCAGTCTACTCCCAATAAGGTGTATTACTAGTTGTGTATATATATAGGTATTTAGGTAGTATAGTCTAAAATAAAACAATCAAGTATTAACAATTGTGGGAATATTAACTGTCATGATAATTATTTCATTAATACTTTAGAAATTTAAATTGAAAGTGAGGAATAAGTTTTTAAAATAGTTTATAATATTAATTGTCAATCAAAAAATTCAACTTGTATGTTAATGTCTCCAGTTTATGGGTAAAATTCATAAGACTAACAGAAAAATTTTATAATTCTTATGAATTTACACAATTACAACATAAGAAATCCCCAAAACAGCCCTATATCATATTTAAATCAATGTATACATGCATCACAAAATCTTATTGTGCATTAGGTGAACCATATTTTTTTGCTTCCCATTTTGGGAATTTAAGACGTTCAACATCCAGTTAAAAGAGGTTTAATTTAGAGAAACTAGTATTTAATTTTAATTTTATATTTTTATCCAATCAGATATTTTAATTTTACCTAAGAAGTACAAAATTGGAATCATATCACTATTACATATTTATTTAAATCTTATATTAGGTTTTAGTATTAATTACTTTGCATACTTAAGAAATTAACTGAGAAACATCAAACGAAACTGCAAAAGCATTTTTTGTTTTTAAACCTTAATGAAATAGGAAAAAACCAAATTATATCTTTCTTATTTATTTATCATTGTTTTGATTGTCTTATAAACTTTGATACATGTGTGTGTGTATGTACTTAAATGATAGCTTTTCCTCAGAAGTATGTGTTTTTATTCATCTATGTTCACACATTAGTAAGAACCATTTAGCACTAATGCCCAATAAGAATTAAGTAACTCGTTCTGAAAATTAACTTTAAATAAAACTACAATGCCTCATAGGTAAAAAAGAAGAAAACCTTCCATTTCATTTTAGGGTACTTGTTTTGTGTATAATTGAAACAAAACAAAATAATAAAATATATTAAGTTTTGTTATCTCTAATAAGGTGAAATGTATCTAGTACTTTTCACTGAATTGAATATCTTTGAACCCAAATAATGAGTTAATAAGAGAAATAAGAAAGAAGCAGTTTACACACAAAACTTCATATTTCTCATTTGCATAATGTGTACATTTAAATCAAAAGATAAATGAATAACTAGTATTTACTGAGCAATTAGTGGTTGAAAAATGAGATCTAGATATGTTTGATTGTAGACTGGAAATATTGTTGAACATCTAATGAGATATGTTTCATTTTAGACTGGAGCCCAGTTGAACATCTAATGAGACACGTTTGATTGTAGACTGGAGCCCAGTTGAACATCTAATGAGACACATTTGATTGTAGACTGGAGCCCAGTTGAACATCTAATGAGA